AGAGTGTTTCTCTTTGTAGTGAAACTTCATTGTTCTCGCGCACTTGCACGAGTCGTGCAATTTAATAAAATTGTTTCTTGTTTGTAATTACCAAATGTCTCTTTTTCTTATCGATTCATACGATGATTCCGAACTGGAAATACGACGATACGATGATACTCTTCTCCACTTCTGTCACAACAATCACCGTGCGTCAGTTCGTCTGCGCACTGCAATTTACTTTTGTACTCTACGCGAACGCAAAGTAGTCCCTTAGTTTCAGTGGTAAAACACGATGAAAAATATATGTACCTAAAGATCAGATGATATCTAGCAGTTATTTGTTTAAATAACTCGAGTACGCTTTGATGCGTTATCACTATGTCTGCTCAATAGAAGAAGAATGTTTCACAGATGTATTTCATAGATAAAACAGTACCGTCTTCACGAATATTTCCTTGTATAGGATATCGTATAATGTTATTCGAGAATCAAACGATAATGTTCATATTTATCAAATTAACAGAATTTTTTAGCAAATTTCTTGTTCATTTATATAAACGTTATATAAACAAAAAAAAGAAAACAATTTTTCATAGAATTTTATTGTTTGTTAAACCATTCGTTTAACCATGTTTTTCATTAATTTGTTTTGTATTTTATGACTGGGGGATGTTTCTTTTTGGTTAATTTTTCATAAAATTGCATTTAACGTGACTATTTGTACAAAGATACTTACAGTTCATTGATAATACAAATGTTCAAATTGTCAGGGATTTAATTGAACCTTAAATAGATACGAGACTGTTAACGATAAGGAGTGACTTATGTTTTTCACTGCTACGCATATATTTAGTGACGTATGTTTTTACATTTTCAATCTTACAGGGATTTCATAACGTTTACGCCCTAATAAATCTAGTTTTCTTTTTATTCTTGACAATAGACTATTATATACAACTTCACAATTATTATATTACAATTTCGCTTCATACATCTTTTAATAATAATTTAATATATTTGATTTTTAATGCATTTGTAGAATTTAATTATTTCAAATAAAAAGACATTAAAGAATGGTCATAGAATTTTCTATATTTAAAAAAAATGCTATATGATTTTTTCCATTATTTATTAGTAGAAATATGTACAGATAATTCTGTAATTGTATATAGAATTAAAACAAATTTTATTCTGCATCTTCTTCGTCATCATCTTCTTGACTGTTAACAATTTGGAAGTACCTTAGTTCATATGTTTCTCTGTCTTTTGATACAACACGTAACCAATCTCGCAATTTATTTTTTTTCAGATACTTTTTTGTTAAATATTTGAGATACCTATGTGGACATATTTTCACTTTAGTGCAAATATCAGTTATTTTGTAAAAAAATAATGTTAAATCCAATAATTATTAATGACTGAATATAGCTGCTCTAATCATCAAATATCACTTTTATATACTAGACAATACCCACCGCTTAGAAAAGTCAATATCACTATTAACAGATAGTTTCATTTTATCCCTCTCTAAAGTAACACTGTTACCAAAATTGTTTGTTTTGCCAGTAACTTTGATTCTTTCATGCAGGTACTTTTCCTGTAAAAAATTAACATTTTTTAAAAATTTAGATATACATAAATAGAACTTTTATGAAGTCCTGGTATAGATGAGGTTAAGATCATACCTAGTAATGAATTACTTATATATGAAAATTTAAATTACAAAATATCAAGATAGAATTAAAATGTGAAGAATAAAAATCAAGTTAAGAAAAACTTACAAAATTGGATACATCCATAATGTTATCTTCTGCAGGATGTGTACAGTCAATAGTAAATTTAAGGGACACCTTTTTCTTCTGGCCTTTACCCCGAAGGGCTTGTTTTTTGATGGCCGGTCCCTTAGACTTCTTTGCAACAGGCTGAAAAATGTATAATTCCTCATTTTTAAATTCTTTTAATTAAAAAATTACGTTTGTTGCAGATACATGTGCTATCCACTAAAAGATATCTCAGTTGGAAGTTTACATCCAACGATATCTTCGTAATCTTTAAGAAAATGCAAATATAATTGTATCATAACAAAAGGTTGTAACACATTGTTTTATATTTTTAGTGAATTTTTAAACAATCCTCAAACATGCCCAAATTATAGGCATTTTTTCCCTGAACAGAAAACTCACCGGAGCCATGTTTACAAATGGTCAACAAATGGAAGAGTTTGATACCTTATGGCGCTACGATCGTTTCGTTGATATCAGGAGCGTACCAGTTCTATATGAAACCCCGAGGTTATAAAGTTATAGAAATAAAAAATTATTTTTGATATTTTTTAGTTAATTATGTCCTTTTAATTGTAGCGTTTAATATCCTTCGGCTATTAAAATATATTGTTAGGATAAATGAAATATAAACTAAGATAAAATAAGAATATAATAAATTATTTGCAAATTATTTTGTTTCTCATAATTGTGTTTATTTAAGACTAATATACAGTAACATCTAAAACTAGATGAACATAGATTCCTCGATCAGTAAATCGAATGACGCTCAACTCAATTAATAGTCACGATTATTAATCGTATCATTATACCTTGTAATAATACGTTAACTGCCTATGGTGAAGCCTTCTTACGTATAGTTATTCTCGTCGTACTTACAAACGTCTTAAATAATCGTTTCTCTATTGTTCTTCGATTTGTGGACATAGTAATAAGCATTTCGGAGAAAAAGGGAGGGGATCGAGGGATAAGGGGTAATTATTTAATTGCATCTTGAGCAAGGAAGGTATGCTTCGAGAGATCGATTTTACAATAATGCAGGGCAAAACGTTTTACGATTGATAAACCTTGAAATCTTGTTCATATTTCAACAATGTAGCAAAATGAATATCTTACTTCTATCGGTCTCTTTTCGATAAATTTCTATTGCAGCTCCTACAAGTCCGTTTCTTTTTAGTTTTTGTCGTTTTCTTTTGAAAGATGTTTCTTCCATTCCTTTTTTTCGAAAATACAAAGTTTAAGTTTCTTCTGTGGAACATCTAGTCATCGTGCATACGGTGTATGCACATACAGGTATACAAGCGTAGTTACATAGTTTAAGAAAAGAATTGATAGTATGAATAATCGTATCGCTTATGATCTTCTTACTTAACTATGGAAATCGTACGATTTTTGTGACAAGGAATAAACGAACTGGTCGAAACACTAATTGATTAGGCCAATAAAGAGAAGAATATCAAGAAGTTTCCAGTTATTTTACGAAAAGAAACTTCTACAGCGGCATTAATTTTTGATAATCGAAACGTTCCCTTATTCTTTCCTTTTTCTTCCTTCTTTTCTCTTTCGCAGCGAAACAAAAATGCACGTTACTTGGTGGATAATTAAGAATTCGGACAATACACTGATTTTCGTCAAATATGGTGAATATTCTCTTAGGTGCAATGTCACACATAATAATAGAAAATCTTTATCAAACTTCTATTCAAAAATGCTTCCTCTTTCGCTCGTGGCTTATTATTTCTGAGGGAGTATACAAATAATCTGATAGTCGATAATTTGATCTATAGTATTTAAAAAACCTGCATCGTTTCTTTGGTTGGTACGATTTACAATGAAGTATGAGTTGTTCTTCGCGAAAAAGGGAGCATTTATGGTATAAACTTTCCTTGAATCTACTTCGTTACTTTCGTACTCGACATACTGCTCTCTTCTTTTATTAGAGTAACCGTGCATCGATTCATGGAAAGTAGCGTACTCGTCGATTTAGGAGTTGCACAGAGAAAAAGACCAAAATTCGTAAGACATGGATGTCTCACGTTAGTAAAGAAGAGCGGCGAATTGCGACCAAGCTAAAAGTTACACATTCGAATCCGTGAAAAGAGGATTCTGAAAGAAGGATCGTCCAAACGAACGTAACTAACGCGGACATCCTCCTCCTTGATGTACTCGTTAATATTTTATTTAGCGCAACAACTGCTAATCTTCGTTTATGAACCGCTAAAGAATAATAAAAGTTAACGCTAACAATCTCTCTCTCTTTCTCTCCCTCTCTTTTTCTCTTCCTTTCTTACATATACATATATATACATATACATATATGTACGTATGTATGTATGTAGTTTAATCTTACATCGATAATTCGTAATAATTTATGTACATGTACACGTATATACGTAAATACACATGTCTGACCACTAACAAGCGGACAGTGTCCTCCCTCGTATTTCTTCCATTCGTTTCTCTCGTACTAACTCTTCGGCTAGGATTATCGTAAGTGGTATACGTGAATCGAGAATTTCCAGTTAGTCGAGGTCGATGACGATATACAGAAAAATCTATACCTACACAGATCGCTAACTTTTCCTCACGAAATAAACGTTCTGGAGGGTCGATCAACTTCCCTACCGGTTCTCTAGGTACTCGCCACCAAGCAGGAAGTGGATATAGTATTAGACAGACTGTTCCTAGAAGCTATTACGGAACTCGCGACTTATTCTGCAGCGTAATTTTAACACATTAACTGCACAGAGGAACTAATAGTATGCGCCACGTGTTTCCTTATGTTTTTCATTCAGGGCTCTTCGGATTGTATGCACTGCGGCCGAAAGATGCAGCGGAAAGGAGAATGGAGCGCTTGCTTGATCGAAACAGAGGTACACCTTAGCGAATCGGTTATTATGTATTTTCATTTTTGTCTTCGTAGATTGCATCGCGGGCAGTTAACGCGTTAGCTGTTCGTTCCTCGATCAAACGTTTATTTCACCGATTCTCGTAAGTTCGATTCCCTTCTATACCGTTGAAATGGTCGAAAAGAAACAGGTGCTGATTGTGGGATCAAAATTTTTGGATACGGTTCAACGTGGACACGCGTCTAGTGATCGGGGATCGATCGTAGTTTCTTTTTCCTCCTTTTCTTTCTTTCCATTTCCCTCTTCTCATGACATTTTACTCGTCTCCTCAAGCCAATAGATTTCACGCTGCTCGCTTAAGATTAGCTCGGAAAATTCTTATTGCGATACGGTACGGTACGGAGAAGTGTATATTTTTTTACATCACGCTGTGAATGCCGTTCATGGAGCCGACTAACGCTGCACCAGCGGTTTGTGATCCGCTCGAACCGCTCGCTCCACCTGCTCCGCCCGCTCCGCCCGTTGCGCCGGCTGGAACAGCTGCACCCTGAGGTGGAAGAGGTGCTGGTGGATAAGCATAGGGTGGCGGTGGTGGTGGTGGTTGCGATTCTGGCATGAATTTCGCTGCAAAATGGAATCACATCGATTATTTCTCCGATACGCGCGAAAAGTTTGCTTAACGAGGGAAAAGAAATTGGGATTAGACAGGTAGGAGAATGTTAATTTTGATCTATATAAATCTTTTTTTCTTATCAACAGTGTATCAGAGGAAGAAAAATTGGCAAAGAAAGGCGAACACGAGCAAGGATATTTAGTGTAACGAGTATCTTTTGTTTTTCTAGATCTTTTAGACTAGGAGGGTGTCGGATGAAAGAGAATACCACGAAAAAAGGTAGGACAAGAGGCACTTTAATTCTGAAGTTCGACAAGGGAAGAAGAAATTTCGTGGCAAGAAATTAGGTTAATAAGACGTTAGAAATAAAGCTAATGTGTGTTAGAGTGATAATCGCTCTTGGAACGTGTGAAAGAGGAGTTATGTATCTGTCTGCTTATTGGCAATTGATCAACGTTTTAACCGTGTATGGAGATAGGGGTTGGTTGCCTTTTCGTTACCATTGTTAATACAGTTTTCTCTTTTTTTGCAGGTGAGTCACAACGAAAAACGCGATTTTGGCGGAACATCGATACGAACTTTTACAACTGAAACACAGCAAATTGGTTAGAAGACGATTGTCTTTGGTAAAAGAAGGAACACAAGAATAGAAAAGAAAATGAAAAAGGAAGGTATATTCAGTATTCTTACCTCCTACTAGAATGAAATAGATACTAGATTTGTAAGGGGTCCTTTTCCCCATGGTTGCGATGAAATATTTTTCTAGGTTGAGAACTTCAACCAAAATGACGACTCTTTCTGGCCACGACCGTGATCGTGATTCGCGATATTTCTTCTCCGATTCCTCGTTATTCGAGGATATCGTCTCCTGGTTTCGTTGGAGGGTAAAGAAAAAGAATAAGGAAAGCGGAACATCCAAGAAAGCAAACCTCACACGATCGTACCCAAAAAATAGAGTCGCATAAAGAGTTTTCACTTCTTTTTCTTTCCTTGCTCTCTACAGCTGTCTGTTTTTTTTTCTGACTACGCACTGTAATTTTTATTCGATACTGTACAATGTTGAAAGCAGCATAATCATGATCATAATCATCATTAATAATTAACACGCCAACGGTCAAGATATTGCATGACGTACAGTTATGCATTTTATAATTCTCTTTCTCACTTTTTTCTTTTTTTAAACACAATTTGATCGTTTAAACGCTATGATTTCGGGTCATGATTCTAATAAGAATCCTGTTTGAAACTTCTCCTCCCCCAACGATCAACAATGATCCCTATACCGTGTTAACAACTTCTGGTCCCCTTCTTCGCGTAGCTTCGACGAATCATTGGAATTTCGTTAGAAAGAAGAGAAAGAAACGATTTGGACAAGGCTTCCAATGTGGATAGAATTTATCTAGAACTCTAATTTCAAAGTCGATTGTTCGACCGCTTTCCTCTTCTTTCGTAGGTAAGCGAGGATACCTTCTTCCGGGTGAACGAATAGACATTTCGTTCGTTAAATTGATACGCGGAGGAAGGGACTCGATGGATTCTAGATGTCAAAATTCGAGTGGTTCGTTCGTTCGATGGATGAACACGTATGAACACAAGAGTAAACGAGTGAAGCGAAAAGAAAACCATCGACGACTTCCTCGAGCTGCCTGAGAAGTCATGCCGTTGAATATGCTTCCTCTGATCGGATTCTTTCATTTCATCGTTTCGTGCATAGCGGGTGGCCGATGAGAACCTTCGAGGATACCGCTTCCTCTGTGGAATCGTGTACGAAGTGTCGACAAAGAATGACGACACGTTTTATACGAAATCGTGTTCTACATACAAAAACGTTTCTGAAAAGATTATGCAAGCTTGTAATATTACGAACGTGGCGGTCTCAAGCAATGGAAGAGCAGTTCAAATTTACCTTGCTCTATAGCAAACGACTGTAACGTGGGTTGCGACGCGCTTCCGCATCCTGTTTAAAACGCATTTGAAACTGTACAACGAGAAAGAACGAAGAAACTTCGACGGATGCAACTTTGCAACTCTTTTTGAGCTTTTCGTGTGTAGCGTAGAGTTCGTAACATATCTTGCATCTTCGATGACACTCCGTACGTGTATTTCTTTTCTTTGCTTTCCTTTTTTTTTTCTTTTCTCGGAATGGTAATGAATTCCACGGTGGTCGTCACATTGCCTGGTTTTTGTCTTGTTAAACATTATTCTGCACTATTATTATTGTTATTGTTGTTATTATTATCATAATTATTCTTATTATTGTTATTATTATTATTGTTGTTATTATTATTATTGTTATTATTATTATTAATATTATTAATATTATTATTAACATGTATACATAACATTTGTAGATAATTTTTCAAGCCTTAAAACGAACCTATATAGGTGCCTCGAGCAAGTCGATGCGTCTCTCTCTTTTCTCGTTCATCGCGTTATTTTATTTCATATTTTCTTTTCTCTTTTCTTCGCATATTTTTTTTTTCTTTTTTTCCCGTTTTTGTTCTTAATCTGTCTTTTTTTCCCTTTTTTTTTTGTTTCTTTTTTCGTTTTTTTCGTTTCGTCAGCACAGGTTGTTCGAAAACGTTCGTTACCGTCTTCGACGAAGGCAGTTTGCATTTATCTATTCATTTCCTGATTCAATGGAAGGATAACGGACGCGAAAGAACAAAGGTTACGCGTGACTCTCTCTTTCTCTCCCATCCTTTCTCTCGATCACCCTTTCGCTCTATTTTACTCTCTCGCTCTCACGCTCACTATCTTGCGTGGTTTTTCGTAGTGGATATATATATATATATATGTATTTTTTTTTCCTTTTTTTTCCAGTTGTTTTATTAATTATCAGTGGTTGGTCGTAATCGAACGAACATGAAGGAGAAATGATATTATTTACAACACGAGATGTACATATATGTTGCAAACGGAGCGCTCGATCCATCGGTGATTATCTCAGTCGATCTGTCCGTTTTTATTTGAGACCCAGAAGCGTAAAAATCTTATCGATTTCCGTCAATCTTCTTGCTCTTAATCCCAGCTGCTCTTTATCGTGAAACATTTCTCAGACGTACGGAAACGATAAGAAAGGAAACGCGTCGAGATCTCGACGATGAGAAGCGTTCAAAGGCAAACATTACGCTGTTTTAATATTGGAAAAGACGGAGAAGTATCCTCAATCGTCGAATGACATCGTTTTATTGTTATACAATCCACAGTCCCGATGCATGCTCTCAGCTTACCCTGGATCGAACGCTCTCCCTCGCGACTTCATACATGTTTATTTATAAAGTAAACGTCGATATACATTTATACGCACATTTATTTATTTATATTCGGCACTTCTTTACAATGAAAATTCCCTATGACACTCTGCCTTCGTCGAAAAGGATTTTGCTAGTTTTTACGAACACCCTGTATCGCGATAATTCCTCGATATCTCTTCTCTAACTCTCTTCTGCTCTTTGTACACACTGGCCATTATTTTTCAGTTTTATTTATTCAGCGCGGATTAATTCAACACTTCGTTCGATGGACGAAGGAAGGCAAGGATCGATCATGGTTGTCGCGTCCTTCTGTTCTCGACTAGATACGTGTGATCATTTTCGTTTGTTACCGTTCGATGTAATGGTTGCGATTGTTAGACGAACGTTTAACTTGTTGATTTTGAATTCTTCCTCGAGCTCTTATCGTTCATGTACGATCATTTTCTCTTTTCTTTCACTTTGTCGCCGGCCTTCGTCCATTTGCGAAACGTTGACAAAAGAATTTAATTTCGCGTCCGCTCTCGTGCTCGAATCGAAAGCATAGTTTTTGATATCGAACAAGAAGGCGGAATTTGCAAATAGAACTGTGCTCGTTGCGTTCACTTCTTCGATCTTCTCTCTATTCGATAGAATGTATCATCCTTCGTCCTTCGAGCTTGTCCTTCCCTATTTTCCCTTTATCATTTTCTCTTTTTTTTTTTCTTTTTGCTTTTCAAACTCGGAAGATCGAAGAGTCTCATTAAGCTGTTTCTCGAGAATCGGTCAACGATGGACGCTTCATCGATGTCCCGCCATTGCGACCGTTCCTCCGCTTTTCTCGATCGCTTCGATCCTATATCCTGCAATACTTCTTTCGCTGTTGCGCTGTTATTGTTGCGGTTGCTCGTCGATTGTGTGTAACTCTGTTTTTTTTTTTTTTTTTTTTTTTTTTTTTTTTTGTTATCGGTAACGCAGTCTCAAACTCGTCTCACGCGTTCAAATCCCCCGTCGTTCCGTCACTCGTCTGCGTTTCGCTGTTGGTTGCTTTCCCTATTTTCTTTTGTTGCTGCTATTTTTGTTGTTGCTGTTGCTGTTGTTGTTGTTGTTGCCTTAATTTTACTCACGTGTTTACTTTTGCGAGTCGCTGCCGCCGGTGGTGCTCGCTGAAAAGAACAACAGGCGATTGTTTTTTTTTCATGCCCGTTTCCAAGCGACCGTTTATTTTTTTTTTTTTGCAACGTCTTTCATCTCGCTGGACATTTCAGTCACATCGCTTGGTTTTCTTTGAAATCTTTCGTTTTCTGGTATTCTTCGCATGCAGAATGCCGGCCTACGATTGTCGTGGACAGACAGCTTGCTCTCTTCGATAGAATGGGAAGAGCCGCGATAGATTTATCGCGGAAGAAAGTTGAAAGTCCTGGTAATGTAAATTGACTCTGGAAAGTTTAAGTTGCGCGGAGGAGATACGGCGTAAGTAGATAGAGACGTTTTTGGTCGGGCCGATTCGAATATCGGTCGTAATTGCTGTTTCATGGTAACGCGAAGAGTGTCGATATCTCTGTCCACGAGAATAGATCTAATAATCTAGTATTCAAAATACATATTTAAACGTATAAAACTACGTTACGTGTCAGGCAAATCTCATGCAATTTACGACCATATTCAACATCCACTACAGCACGGAAATTAAGTCAGTCTATATACACTGATCGTTCCATGTAAAGACCGAACACCATTATCGCGCTTTTCTTTTCCTCTTATCGCTCTTGACTTTTATCCAGCGTTCGGAATCATTTCCGCTTCCCGTGTTCGCATGAAAATGTTTCTCGTTGCAACGATCACTGTAACTCGCTGGAAGCCTCGATAAAAGCGTTCCATCCAACTTTCCTTCCACATAATGTAGCACATAATATAGTCGGTAACCAGAGGAAGCCATGCATCGCTACCTTTTCCGATCACACTAGAAAACTATCTATTGAACGTAAAACATAAGAACGTAAAACATGCTCCATAATCGTCTACAAGCTACAGATACATGCACAGCATGAAGATCGTCCCAGAAATATTTCGTTTGAGAGAAATATTCGCGTGAGATATTTTTACATACATATATCGTAGATATATACGCACATATATCGTTATGTAATTGTATATTCCGAAAGGTTGTTCGAGTTCGTGGAAAGAAACAGGTTCGACGCGTGACAAAAGTAAATAAATAAGTAAATAAAGATAGTATCTCATGCTGAATCGAATATGCAAAAGGTCTGAATTTTAGCTGCGCGCAGAAATTGATCGAATACTTTGGAAATTGCATTGGTAATGAATTATTGAATATCGTTTACCTTTAAGATCGAAAAAGAAAAGAAAAAAAAAGAGAAAAAATGTATCAAAAGATCTAGTGACGTTCACTTCTGCGCGTAGGAGTTTGTAAAAAGAGTCAAACTTAAAACCTGTGTGCCGGAAGTGAAGAGAAATTTTTATTCTTGTACGATGTCGAAGAAGAAGAAAAAGAAGAAGAAGAAGAAGAAAAGAGGAAGAAGAAGAAGAGAGAATGTTGAAAAGAGAAAAATGGTATCGATAAAGTGCAGCAATAAAAATTGTAGCTTACCGTACCGAAGAGAAGAGTAGGAGTGAAATAAAAGCTTTAGAAGTCTCTTTCTACTTTGTTGTTACTGTTGTTGTTGTTGTTGATGTTGTTGTTCTTACTGTTGTTCATAGGAGCAATATATATGGTACTTGTTGTTGTTATTAATGTTGTCAATTTGTCGTTGTGGTGTTGTCCTTTCGTGTTTTCATTTCTCGGTGGTGTTTATTTACAATTATTCGTTCATTTCTATCTCTGTTCACTGTCCGCGATTCTTTATGCGCGTTATCGTTCATTTATTTTCTTTTTTCTCTGCTTTTTTAAATTCTTTTCTCACGACTATACAGCTTCGAGCTTCATCGCACTTTTTGCTCGTTTATACTCGTTTTTCCGACCACCAAAAAATTGAAAATCACTGGCTGGGACTAACTTCGGAAAAAAGACAGGGGGTAATACCACCAAAAAGTACAGACAGACACATAACAGTAATTACGAGGCACAGGTCTGGGTGAGTGGTTGTGTAGCTTTTTGAAACGTCTTTCTTGTCGCGTTCCAAGCCGATTGTCTTGCTGTGGAATAACCTCAAAAAATTCAAAAAAGCACCGCGCTCTTCTTCGAAAATACACTTTGGCCACTTTTTATATTTTACTTCTCTTTTGACTTCTTTTTTTCTTTCTTTTTTGCAAATTACGCGTATTCCGGTCGCAACGAAGTCAAGGAAACGATGGAGGCTTTGAATTGGTAAAAATGCCTAGCAGAGTTTAAATATCCCCCATTAATTACTCGAGCTCGCAACTACTTATCTAAATTTTTGGATTCCTTACAGGTTTTATCCTCTTATTGTACATTTCAATATCCGTTAAAGTTGAACACTCGATATTTAGACTCTTCCTCATAGCCTCCATCGTTCGTGTTTGTGGTGTCGCTGGTCTGGATCGTGTTGCTTTGGAACAGACAGATCAGGGTTGGCTGACGATTAGAGATTCTCGTCGAGAATTCATGAAACACCATTTCTCTGCTTTTTCTAGTCCCCGATGCTGGCGGACGTGCGTGCTCCGCGATCCTTAATTGCAGTAGTGGCCCAGTGAAATCAGTGGTTCATGAATATACAACGAGTCTCGAAGGACGGTAGTGATTCATATAGGGGAAATACAAATAGTGACAGTACATCAGCAAGTACTTATTACAGACAGACAATATGTATGTAACATCGATGGTTAAGCGTCAATTCCATAAGGATCTCTCGAGAAGGGATGCTCTCTTTGTCGAGTAACTTAACGACGGTGTTAGCGTGATTTTTATGAAAATAAGACTTATCGTTGGTCGTAAATCACGTGGCTGTTATTCTCGTCGTTGACATCTCAACAGGAAAGATCCCTATGAAATTACGAACATTCGCAAGGGGACATATGTTGAAAATCGAAGAAATTTTAAGGGATCCAGGATATAGGATCTGATGGTATAGAACAACGAAAACGGAGATATACACATACGTATACAGGTTTTTCGTACACACGTCCTACGTGAACAGATAAGGATAAAAAAAGGAAAAAGTAGAAATAGAGAGAGAGAGAGAGTGAGAGAGAGAAAGAAAGAGAAGAGAGAGAGAGAAAGAGAGAGAGCGAGAGAGAGAGAGAGAACAGTAATACGCAATGTCGCAGTTTTGTTGCTTTCTACCTTCAGACTCACTCACACACAAATCTCTTCCACCAACCAGCGCGTCTACATAAAGTACGCTAGACGAAAAAGAGAATTCACACGTTAGATGATGAACAGTGAGAGATTACTAACACATTAGCACGTGATCCTTCTCGATCTTCAATAAACAGTTTCCTTCCGTGAATACGAGAAAGCTTATCCTCCAGAGAGAGACAAAAGTTAATTTCAATAGTCGCGATCACACAGTTTAAATTGAACTTTATCTCGGCTCTTTTCCTGATATCGTCATAGTAATTTTCTCCAGTCTTTCGATTGACGAAACAGTGATCGACAAGTTATGACTTAAGCAATGTCGACAAGATTTTATTATTTCGTGGAATTCCTAAGGGATGCTTGAAGGAATTCCTCGATTAACCGTGCGCGCTTATTGGCGACACCTCACTTAAAGGACATCGACGTCCCTTTGCGTCGTGCAAACACAATATGGTTTCAGTGACGGAAACCTCTTCTCAACACAGATATATAGACGGCAGAGACATTAGCCAGGAACGACTGATTCGGCTCGATATTACATAAAATCGAAGAAATATAGGTACTACGATATCGTCAAACACTTTGACGTGTGGTTAAGTAACACACTCGAGTGCCATTTTCAGTCAATACCGAATTAGTCGTCCCGAATCGTGAGGCGAGATATATCGATCGTATAATACAGAACATTTAGACAGTTACAATGGCAGTGTCATTAGCTTTAGTAAGTGCATCTATGCGTCTGGTTACTTACCAACAATGATGGCCAATACTATTAATCCGATGACGCCCATAATGATCATCATCTGAAATCACAAAGACAGGGGAGGAATGAGGGACTAAAATCTAATGAGAATTCCAATGGAACCATTAAAAAGAAGGAAGCGTTACCTTCAGATTTTGTAGCCAAAACTTCCTCTTCAATTTTCCTGCTTGTTGTTCAAACTGTGATGCTCCTTGTTGAAGTGCGTCTAAAAGGACAAATTATTTAGAAAAACTTTTCGTAGGTCATCAAAAAGCTTTGGCTATTTTTGTGGCAATCGATTTTAAGAGCTCGAAGAACATGTTGAAGTGGTCTTGGTAAGAAGTTCCTTGGACAAGAAATGTTACGACGTCAGACTTTATGAAAATGACGTAGACGAAAGAGATCGTGCTATTACGACAAATGCATTGTTCCAACTTCCCACGGGATTCTACGGTTCGTTCTTTCAAAGAATCGCGAGTTCCTGTCTAAATCAATCAAAATGTAAGTCAAGAGACAGCTAGACATCTTTCGGGAGTAATGTAACATAATGCTAGTAAAATATTAGACAAAATTTTATTTAGGATATTTTGCGAATTTTTATTTCCTATTCATGTTTTTTCTAGCTTCCTAATGTCTCGGTACGATAATTTGAAAATTTATTTTATGCTAGCTAAAGATTTCCATGGCGATCAAACTGCGAACAGGGAAAAAGATCGACAATGGTCAGCCCCGTAACGTGGCATCGATTCGTGAGCGTCACCAGTAATCGATATCAGCGAACAGAGAGACGCGCAGGGTTGAACTACTTTAATGCCGTGCGAGAATGAATGGAGAGAATATCCTTCAAGCAAACGTAGCCAACAACTCGTCCTTCGGTTTAATCCGACGCTATGTGCATTCCTAATCGCGCTACGTGTTTCTACTTTCCCTCATCTAACCATTATGACATTCTTTCTGTGAAAACTTCCGCTGCATATCACAGCGATTCATGTATATACAGAAACATGTCTAGACACAGAGTATATCATGTGCCATCGTTTAGCTCGCCTTCCTCCTTTCTCTGTTCTACCACTTGTCAGTAAGTGTCTAAACTTTTAAATATCACACGAATACGCATCTCTATCTTCCTTCCTGCTACGTTATTCGAGCTACTCTCTGTTCTCGTATTCGAGCCATTCGAGGTATAAAATCGTATTCGAGGAACTTCGTGGAAGTTCCCCTGAGCGTGTGTTATGGATGTAAAGAGGAAACGGAAGTGGATGACGGATGTTTGGGTTTTACTTATTACTGCCATTGCATTTGGTGGGCTGAGAATTGTGCGATCGTTGAAGGCAATTAGCCCACCGCTAGTTTGCCAGCGTACGATTTATGGCAGGGACTTGGTCTTGAGGGGTGTTTATCATTGGGAAAACCAAGGTGTCAGAGGGTTCCTGGCGACTCGCTGTCGCTTAGCTATCGCTTGTAGAACGAGAGACTGTTTAAAGAGTGCAGGGGAAGGTTTATATCAATGGCAAGCAGCCAGACGTTGAATTGCCTAAAAAATGGAACTTTACTTTTTCCCAGAAGATCTGGCCATGGAGTAGGAAAGGTGATCTCGACCTACAGGTGAGACGACTATGTTTCACCTCGCAATAAATAACCCAGAACCTTCATAGAGCTAACATCAAAAACTTCATAACGTACCTGCTCGATCATCGAGCTCAGAGAGCTTTTGGTCACGCTCCAGCACTTTCTCGACATTCGTTTTCATGATGTCGACGACTTCGTCCACCTGCGCTTGCGTCGCCTGCAGCCGCTTCTGCGAAGCGATTTGCTGAGGCGTCCTGGGACCTCCGACGATTCCATCGGAACCTGCACCTGCTCCTGCACCTGCACCCGCAGCAGCATCCGCTGTTAGACCGCCTTCGGTGGCCCTGCAATCAGTACGAAATTTTTTTCATTCATTTCCCTCGTCATCCAAGTGCACCTCGTTATCCGAATCAATTTTTCGCTCGTTCTCCCTAATGGTACCCTTGCGAACGCGGTACCAAGGAAAAATGTTTAAAATATTCGAATTACGGAGATATTTGAAATTGAAAGTCTCATTATCGTTGCCAAGTTAAGCCCTGGAAAAAGGAAATTGAATGGCAAATAGAGGAAGTAATTCACGCGTTGGAAGATTAAGCGCGAGTGGGAATTTCAAAGCGTCTAGACGGGTTTTCGCGAGATAAGCGCTCAGTGAAAGAGGACCTAGTCTTGGAGACAAATAATCCGATACCCCTTTTTGTTCCGCCGCTTTTCTACCTTCGCGTGCTGCCCTGGCCTTTTATTAATTTTGCATCATCGCCCGAAGAAGAATCAAGCGATGACCTACTAGCGCGTTTGCATTTTATTTCCTGTGAAAACAGTCGGAAGGCTCTGTGATAGAGTATTCTTCCACGTAAACACGGGGATTAGTACTTCTCTGTTTTCCGCAGCTCGTGATTGGGTTAGCTCGAAATTCTCTTAACTATGTTAAGTGATTTTCTGTAACAGTTAAAGATAGTAAGGACGGAATTCGCGTGTTGCATTAAGGGGGCGAGGGTCTTCGACTCGGTCATTAGGGATCGAACAAATCTGACAAGCTAAGAAATGCTTATGGCGTTTCTCAAAAGCTGCTCATTGACGTTACTGGCTCGATCCCCAGTTCTATGGTGGATGCTGCAATATTTTCATCGAACCGAGGGCGGAAGCAAATGCGAAAGGCCAAAGTTCGTGACACGTTTCTGAAAGTTGCGCGTTCGACTACGTACAGTTGTGTATTATTTCCTTGCGATATCGTCCCTGCGTTGCTTTTTGAGAATACGAAATGATGCATTAAGTGTTCTTTGAACGGGAAGTAGCTTTGAATACCGAGTCACGAACTTACGGGTTCTCTCATAGATTTTGAGCTCGATCTTAATAAAAGATAGTACCGTGTTTTTTTCGACGTGCGAAATGGAAAAATTGTTATTTCTTCAGGGAACAAACTATTTCAACGAATCGTATTTCTTTTTCATCTGGAAATATAAGGATAATGACCACGTGAAAAGGGAAAGCTAATATCGACTTAGGTTATTGCGATGTTTGAATCAACTTGACCGAAGGTACCACAGGCTGACCTTTTCGAACAGGGTAAGACCTTTCCAGGAACAACGAGGATGTTAGTTTAATTATCATGACAGGCTCGCATTGGCGTTTCATCGCCTTTATGTTTCAACATCGTGGGCAACTTTCATCGCGTTCTGTTGAATTACAGGTGCCGACACCTCGATTCTAATTATAACGATTTATTCCAAATTTTGTGAAATCCTTTCACGATTTATCTCCAAATCCGCAAACATTCAATGTATTTCGTTCTATATCGGTTTTGACTAATTAAAGGATCACCTACGCAAATGCCTTCCTCTCTCAGTGCGATACTCGATACGGTTACACGTGTGGAAGCGCGTTTCATTCGTAACTGTTTTTAATTTTATTCATTCCCTTTATCGATACCTCTGACGATTAATGAAACTTCGATATAGCTCGCAAAGACTTTTACCCTTTTACTCTTTTTCCGATATATAAGAAACTGTTCGGTATATGGTACTTCATTTTATTCAGTAGTTTCGTCTTCGTTCTACGTGTATTTCGATTTCAAGCGCGTGCTCGAGATGGTGAATCAGGGTTTCCGGACATGTCGAGTACCGATGGAAGATTAAAAAGCGATCGAAGAGGCAGTGGGTTTTATTTTTGGCAATATCGTTGCAGCAGTTTGGGCAGGAGTACAATCTTTAACGTGATCGTACAGGGAAAAAACGGACAAATTATTTCCCATGGAATATTTCCGTATCGACGTGTGAATTTTTCGTTAGGGTATAAGAAAGTGGAAGCGTTCACCTGGTTTGAAGCCTTTATGCACTCAAGCGGCTTATATAATCGGATTAATATATTGATCGAAGCAGGTATGCTGGTTATCGTCATTATTGAATTATCCTCGAGTCGGCTGGAAAATAGTCACGAAGATTTAAAATCGTTCAACCTGAGTCCCAGTTCGTTTCATCGAGGATTTAAATTTTATCTACGAATTACGAAATTCTCTATTCGATCTTCGAGAAAAAAAAAAAACAATGATTTCCTTCGTGATCGACATCAATTTGATAAACTTCTGAACAGTGACGTATATAATCCCCGTGAACGGAGACTTTCACCGGTGTTCGAAAGCTTCGCCTTTTTTTTTTTTTTTAAATATTCACGTCGATATCCTAATTTTAGAATTATTGGAGAACAGGTGACGTCAACGAAGCATAACTGAATCCTCCCTACGCGATCTATTATGACGTATGCTACCTTCATTGGAGAACTGTTAGGGGAAGTGTAATTTGTCTTGCTGCAGCTTCAAATGCAACACCTTTGACGTCAGACACTTATCCTTTCAAGCTTCACTGGGAAATTCATAGGGAGCCGAATCTGAATCAACTACATCTTACACGATTTTTCTTGAAATCAACCAAACACATTTGAAATAAAAAGGAACGAAAAATAAACAGCTCAATATCGCAAGTTCGAATAAAAGAAAAATGTAAGTAACGAAAAATTTCGGAAAATTAATTCCCGAATGTTCTTTCAACGCGATAGAGGGAGAAATGGTGAAATTTATTTACTCTCTGTTGTTTGGGAAACACGTTCTTGCTCAGACCTGTTGTTCGAGCAATATCCTGTATCTTGTCTGACTTTATCAGGGACAATCTACTTGCAGGTCAGGCATTTGATATGTGTCGGATCTTCGTTTCGTCAAAGTCGTAGAACATTACTGCAAATGTGTTCGTCATTGATTATCTAAATATAGAAACTGCGAGTAGAGCGTACAGTCGAGTTTCGCGATTGATTGCTACCAGTACGTGTGTGTCTCTAATTAAATCTCGCGACTTCACCAGCCGTAGCATGTGCGATATCGATTGATATTATGGAACGACTTTTAAAGTATCGTTATGTCATAAAATTTCCACGGGGGAATATTCAAAAAAATAATAATGGCTCCCTGAGAATTACCCGTGTGATGGCAACTAAAATCGAGGCATCGTGAAGTTATCTGGCAATTATTAAATTGAAAAATGATCTATCTAAGAGGCACAGATTATAACGTCGATGATAGAATCAGGTTCAATGATACAAAGTCACGAGTAGTTCTCGTTCTTCTTTGATGTTCGTAGAGTTCGATTGTGAGAGGAGAGCCTCGATCGGCTACCAGAATTCAATGACCGCAATTCCACTATTCAAAAGAAATCGCCCTTATGGTTCGCTTTAAGCTTTGCTGCACTTTATTGGAAATTCTGGCGTGTGTTACGAGCAGGCCGTGCAAGGGGATCGATTAGCGACAGAAATGTAGCAAATTGCGTCTTAAAATCCGTCTTATACCAATCGAATTTTTCCTCCGGGGCGATGTAGAGGATTCGAAAGAAATTTTCACCCAGTTGCAACTTTACGTCCTATTTTACACGAGCAGAATTTAATTCGAACACTCGTGCATGTATCTACAAGAACAACCGCTTCCTCGAACTGTCCTTACCATCCAATTTCCCATGAATTCCCTTGCTAGGTGAACCATCACCGTATTATATACGAGTAATGAAAACGAGTTTGCAACCAGCTAACTCGAGGAACAGGGAATTCTATGCAGACCCACTCATCCATTGATAGTATCGAAAATTCGACGATTTTTTTAAGACGAACTCATCGTTCACTAATTTTCTTCCTTTTCTTTTGATCATATACAATTTTTGCCGCAAAGAACGAAGATTTAAGACGAGACTTACATTTTTGTCCTGAACAGAGTCTATCAATTCGATCGTGTCCAATTTATCCAGCAGGTCTAAGCGGAATCGGTAGCAATTCGTCGCGATTAGAAATTGCCCGGCTGTGAAAGTGTTATAGATTCGCGAAGTGGTTCGATATAGACTGGCTCGTAGGGAATCATCAGATCACACGAGTTCCTCGTTGGTTTTACTTGAACGGGAATGCACTTCTCGACTTCTCCGATCGACGAGCATGGGATCGTTAGGATTTCGTGGGTCTACTCACATGTTGTTCGTCGGTCGCTGTTGGTTTCCTGAACTAGAGCTATCCGCTGACTTGCCAAGTCCGTCAGATGATCGCGTACTTTTCACGAGCGACTGTCACCGACTAGACGGCCGCGGTATTGATAAAATTTCCAGCGGCACCGCCGCGCCGCCGCTCCATCGTTATCTCGACTACCCTCGAATCGTTTGAATCGTGTTCCGGGTATTCTCGATTTTAACCCCCTGAGAGATTTCCTTTTTTCCTGTGAGAGAAGTCGTTGGTAGGAAATTTCATTGAATTGGGCGATATGCGAAACGCGTGGTCTAAAATGTTGATATAATTAAAATTTTCGTGTCGGTGATTAGAGGACGAGAATCGATGTATCGAATAGAAAAGTTCGAGATGTGACTTCGAACAGCAGCTACTGCGCATGTGCAGACGTTTCCAGTCAATAAACGTTAGTCAGCCGCAACCCTCATGCGCAAACACACCCTGAAAGGGACTCAGGGACGTTCCTGTGGTTCGCGGGAGCCCCGTGTCTCGCGGCGCGAAAATAGGCCAACGACCGGTACGATCAGTCTCTTACTTTTGCTGTTGGGATAGTTATTCTTGTTATTCGGTGAAAGAATGTGACACAGATGTTTTTAAAATGGTAGAAAATAAAGGGTTTATAATAGCCTTGTTTGATAATTTTGGAAGATCAATGTTTGGGTACTGTTGGATAATTTTTTCTTCACGAAGGACACTTCCGTAATCTAAGTTCGTACGGTCCTGGTAACGCGATGTGAATACGCGCACGAGCATCCGCAAGATGTTTTATTTATGTCCTCCTTACAATTTTTGTCGCGAGGCGAGGGTGACATTGTGAATTTTGCTCCGCGAAAATGTTGTCGAAAGTCGACGGAGAAAGACGCGAGATGGATCAGCTATTTGGTGAGTTTTTAGAGGGAATATTTCATAAAATTTGAAAAGATTGCGTTCATAGTTATGGAATTTGATAAAACCACAGTTTACCATTTTTTAGTAATATGTAACGAAAGATAATTAGAATCTGTGATATATCTTAACAATCGAATAAGTATTTCGATACAAACTTTTAAATATTATAAATGTATGTATAATTACGCGTGTTAGTTTTTATAATTATGTTTTATAGATTTTGATTTGTCAAATATGAAAGTTCAAAGATAGTCATAATATTTGCTGTCATCGTAAAATTAAGTTATTTTTGAATTTAAAATAATTAAAATAATTTTGGTGCAAAGAAATATAGAAGGTTTTAAATACAATTATGATACACATAATTGTATTAAGATGGCAGCACATGTGCAATTTGAAATTGAAATTCGTGTCATCTTAATCTCAAAAAATTGCGTCGTAGGAAATATTTGAAACGAACGATTGTACCTCGTAACAGTGGTTTGTGTTTCAAAGATTAGATTAGAAGCAAAGCCTCGTCATTTAATATACTTCTTAAAAATTTTCATAATAAACGTGACGTCATGAATATCGCCATCTTCATCATATGTCATGTACAGTTGTAAAGTGTATTCGTCATCGAAGTAAAATTGGAGATATTTGTCATTATTTTTAAACACTTTACATCTCTGTCATCTTTTTTATAAATTTTTCATTTTAGGGTAAGTTGTCACAGTGTTATTTTCTATTTTAAAAAACAATGCATATCAGTATTTTTAATAAGATGTTATCACATAACTGTAAACAGAAATGTATATTTCGGTGTGTCGTTTTGCATTACATTCGATTTAATGATAGTTATACAAGCACATGGTTTGTATTAAATAATATAGTATGATATAGAATTATAATCAAATAATATTGTTCGATTAAACATGTCGTGATTTTTGAGGTTATGGGTGTGTGCAGTAGCCTATACATATTGTTACATTTTACTAGAAATCGTTGTAAAAGTTTGCTGCAAAAGGATAATTAAAATTGATATTGAGTTTTAATACATAATTATTACATCTAATTCTTTTGGTTATAGAAATATGGACGGTAGCGGTAATTCTAGAGATGGAGAATTGGGTGGGTCACGAAACTCACAGCCAGCTTCTACAAAAAAGCTGCAGCAAACACAAGCAACTGTTGACGAAGTTGTGGGGATAATGAAAGTAAATGTGGAGAAAGTATTGGAAAGAGATCAAAAGTTATCCGAATTGGAGAATCGTGCTGATGCTTTACAGCAAGGAGCAACTCAGTTTGAACAGCAAGCAGGCAAATTAAAAAGGAAATATTGGTGGAAAAATCTCAAAATGATGATCATCATTGGTATTATCTGTGTGATCATTCTAATCATCATTATCGGTAAGTGAAATTTATGAAACTAATATATAAGTAGTATTATGAAATTGGAGATTTAAATGGATATTTTTTAATGTTTGTAATAGCTTCAGTCGTGTCAGGCACATCGGAGTCTGACAATTCCTCTAATTGATAACATTGTACCAAATGGGATGTAATGCTCTGGGGTTTATAATTCCTTGTTCTAAAATGAATGTTAACCCCAGCAGAGTAAGTGCGGGGCACACAGATTAAAACTAACGTGATCATCAAAAATCACAATTCGCAGTTCTATTCATATGAATTGCAGTCTAAGTAATACACAAACAACAAAAAATATACATATATTTTTGAAACGTAAATTTATTCAAACGCACAATTATTAGACTAATTGCAGTATTAATATGGGTGGTCTTTTATAAAACTGTGAAAGGACAATACATTTGATAATGTTATCTTGTTACAATGCTTATTGTACATTTATTAATGATATATAATATATAATATAACGTTTATACATTTTTCCATCTCGGTCTTGAAATAATTCAGGCTTCCACTTTGTCTTGCTCCTCTCCAAGTATCAGTATCCGATGATTTCACTCATAATATCCATATCGTAGTTTAAACATCGAAGAGATATCAAACGATAGGAAAAGCATTCGCTTTAGTCAATGTGATCGAAGATCATTACGATTACGCACCTAGAATGTTCGCTCTTATAAATATTCATGTATTGACGTTCTCTTGCGAATACCGTCATGCTTCTCGGATTAAAGTGACACTAAGACCATCGAATTTGGTGAAACTCAATTCGTCAGAATCATCCTTCACAAAACACGAGCCCGATTTCCATCTCGTAGAAAGTTCACGGATATTTCTTTTCTCCTTCTCCGTATTTCTTTAAATCTTGTTATTACGTTTTTAAGTGAAATTAATAATAAATCATGTTTACACCTCGTTGGTTGAAATGCGTACGTTACGAATACGTTTGCTCATTCGTTCGCTTCGTACCCGATCCAAGTCGATACTTCCGATTATTTGACCTGGCCAGACAAAATGTCACGAGCGATACGAATTAATGCAATGGTCGTTGGACAATTAACGAGACGAGGAATTTCACCGAATGGTTCCAGAAGACGTAGCGTTAGAACCTCGAAGGGAGAGGAAACGCGTGAGTGATAGATGGTCAAGGTTAGATGTCCGTGATCGTGATCGAAGGACAATTTAACGGGACATCGGAATAAAATGGTCAGCTACACGCGTCACTCTTTTTTCCGGCCATCCTCACTACGCTACCATAGACCTCAGACGAAACAGTAAAACTCTAGCTCTTTCTTCAGAGAGGCACCTAAACTCGTAATTTCCTTTCTTACACTTCCGTTAACGTCCCATGTTTCCAGAGAATATTTCACGAACAAATGAGCTTCCGTCGTACGACAACAGTTCTCGGACAATCCCTGTTGACACGAATTATATAATTACATCTGCGGAGCGTGCAAGAGATAGCGCGTAATTGTAAGTGTATCGTATGAATCGATACGCCGGTCAAATTATCTTAGGACTAGTTAGAGATTAGCAATTATATCTAGTCTCTGATATTGGGCGGTGGAACGAAATGGTTTTTCCAAGTCAATCACCATTGTGCTATGCCGATGGAAACGGCGAAACCGCAGGTATGGAACGATCGTTAAAGGCAACACAAAGTCGAAGTCACGTGTCAACAGTGTCAACCGACGGAGCAGGATTCCGATTTTTCCTGTAAACCGAGGCAGAAATCTCAGCCGCTTCATTCATACACCTATCAGTCGGCTGACGACCGTCCAACCGGACAGTCGCTTGTGTAGCGCGTCCCGTGACACCGATACCGTAGGTCAGACGACCCTCGAGACCCTTAAAATCGTCTCCTTCACTGAGAACCGCCTTGATCGCTTACCTTCCGGTATTCCTTCGTCGATCATCGTAGCCTGGAATCTAGTCGCCTGTGGAACGAGTGAAAGTTTTCAAAGAAAATCATCTTATACGCTCTTGCATGCGGATTTGTTGTGCTACGCTACCATTGGGGAACTAGTATCGTCGCTAGCCACTGTTCCTACGTTCGCTCTGTCTTCCTAGATCCTTGAACTTGACCGATCGATGTGTTCGTTCTCGAGGATCGTTCGACTACCAGAAAAGGGGAAAATCGTAAATGCGATACGGTTTCACGCGAATTATTTACCTCTCGGAAATCCTTGCACACGCGAAAGTGGCGTAGTTTATGTCGTAGAGTTTTCGTGACGACTTGTGGTGGGGGTAGTTGTTTTTCTTTCTGTTTGGTAATTCGGCACCCGGTCTAGACGCGCGCCTCAGAGCGGCTAGTGGCTATCGTGCGCGCGTTTCAAAGCGTGTTGGCAAGAAATACGACGCTGTTGTAACGAAATATTAATTTTCCCGACGTTCGCGTCGCGATACGATTAGTTGTTGGAATGTTCGCGATCGAGCGGGATAAGCGATCGAAGCGTAAGTCGGACGTTTCGACCTCTTGTCGAATCACGGTCGAACGGAACCGCGTGTGAGTCGCTGGTATGACGAAACGCGATCCCGCCGATGCGTCTACATAGTCCCACGCGTAACGAGCTTCGCTTATCTGTACTTTATGAATATTGAGAAACGAACGGAACGGACGACTGGTATCGTGTTTTGGAACTGGTGTGCATGTGCGGAAGGATCGGCGAGCTCTCTCGAGGTACGCGCGCTCGAGTGGCGGTCGCTACTCGCTCGGGAAAAAAAGATCGAAGATCGTTTCGGGGAAGACGATAAATGTATCCAAAGCGGGGATCGTGGTCGATAAGCCGCCGCGACAGGAGAGGAAGAGGAAGAAAGAACGGCCTGGTTCGAACAACCAATAACCATTAGTGAAGTTTCGATCTAGCTTGACCTAACCTCTTTCTTCCCTTCCTTCTCTCTTTCTCCTTTCGCTAATCTGCCGGTTTTTCGGCCGCTCGACGAACGCAACGCGTAAATTTTCGAATTTAAATCGTGCACCATCTTCCATCAACCGAAAATCCAACATCATGGCATCGTCCAGCAACGAGAGGCGCCAAGAATGCGGCCTGGGATATCAGAACACTTTGGTAAGTTCATCTTCCGATTACTTCAATCGTTATTTCTTATTCCGTTCCATGACGTTATGTCTCATGTACCGGTCTTTTTTCGCCATATTTAATCTTTCGTTCTTGTTTTTTGCATTCGTCAGACCCGAAGTATTTTTCCTTTCCGAGGGAAAACACGATGCGATAGATCAACGTTCGACTCGAATGGTAGACCGAGTCAGATTCGCGATACGAATCGGTTTCGCTACTCGTATCATAGCTAGGCAGGCAATCAAAGCGGCGAAAGCGACGCCGAGCAAGGGTTGCGAACCTATTTTCATGTTTATTCTTGGCTACGGTGCGCCGCTAGCCGCGAATAGTTCGCTTGCAGCGCGATTCGTGTCTGGGATGGGGACTCACGTGCACCTCCACTTTCTCGCGTGCATTTTGAAAGCTCTGCCCACGCTTTCTTGCCGACCCATTCCCAGCTGATTGTCAGCTGATCACCACCTGAGCGATCAGCCTTCGCTAATTTATCGAATCGCAACAGGCGCGTATGTGTTTGCACTGTTATGAATCATGTTGCCGCAGACGTACTTTAAACGCGACCGGTATCCATCGTCGCCTGTAGCCTAGGAAACACGTACAGGTGCTTTTCCATCGAGCTGATGGGTTTTAAGTTATCTCTTATCAGACAATTCGCGTGTTTGTTCTGTTTCTATCTGTGAGATTCCTAGACCTCGTAGACCGTTGTCTACCGTATGGCTAGTTGTAAATTAGCAGAGTCGTTGGGGAGGATTGTATTGTCAGAGGATGAAGGAAAAGCACGGATATTAATCATGGATGAAAGTAGAACGTTATCATACTTAAGCCGCGATTGAAATAGTAGTAGATTTGGTAACGAAGAATCGGCGAGGATGTCTGTGTGACTTAATATCTCTTATCGGAAGTTCCTTCGTAGATCGAGTGGAAGTAGTTCCAATTGACTGGCGTCTACTTAATCAACGAGTAATAACAGTATAAATTAATAGTATTTAATATTAAATCAATTTTAGATCTAGACCTGCTTACAGCAACGATGCTATTTAGGACGCTTTAAAAATACAATCGTGTAACCCAGTGTTTGCATAGTAATAGTATAAATGAGGATATTCTTATTTGATTTGGTCTTGGGAAACGGTACGATATTTTCTCATGACACGAAGCTTTATTCAGTCCAAAAGCGTGACTCCTCTGACTAATACGTTCTTTTCTTTTTACCCTCACGTGTAGTCAGGATTTTGCAACGATAAAATGCTCGTAGCGTCTGCCAACTTCGTCACGGATTTTCGGACCTTGTATTATAGTAAGCGCAAAGACAATGCGGCCTCGGATGGCCGCGTCACTTTCGAAAGACCCAGTGCAAAATTCTGGGGCAGGTTGCCATTTCTCGATATTTCTACTCTTTGTCTTGTCTTCCTATTCTTGAAAAGGTTAGCCACGAAAAGAAACTTAGGACCACTGCCATTGTGCAAGGTCCTGCAGAAAAATGTAAAAGTAGGTGCAGGAAAATTGTACACTTTCCACCCTTCGTTCTCTATTTAATCGGCGAACAATCTCTCCTGTGAAACGGAGTATCCTCTCTTTCTCTGTGCTTTTGATACTTCTCAATGGTGTTAATTCGTAGAATCGGTGTTTCGCTATTTATGCCAAAAATAAAGCAAATAGACACAGCACGTTCGTTGGTACAGCTATCCGCCGAAAGGCTAGACAAAAAGCCATCTCGCCATAACAGTTATTGACAGACACATGGCAGAAACAAAAACCGGTAAATTGCATCCTCCCGTTGAGGAGTTCCGTATGTTTTTATTCTCTTCTGCTTGGCTAACTTCTTACCCGATCCATCGAAGAAATTGATCTTTCCCGAGGTCGTTCCATTACAATTCTCCATTGATAATCCTCTCCACTCTATCAACGACCATTGAGACTGTTCGAGTACTACTCGAATTCATCTTTTTTTTCTTTCTCCGCATCTCATTCACGGGGACGTTTGTCGTACTCGCGAGTTCATTGATGAATCGCATCCATCTTGAATTAATCATTGTCTACGGATATTTTAACGTTACTCGCATTGTTCAATTAAAAATACATTGTTCGTCGTTTTAATTCAGTTTTCCTTTATCTCGATTCCTGTAATAGGTGATCTCTGCCACTAATCGTTTCAACGCGAATGTTTCAGTCGACCCATCTGTTTCCTCATTTCCCCCGAAGTCAGTCAATTGCGTACTGGTACTGTCATCCTATTAACGTCGATTGACGCTTCGTTCGAAATTCAGCGCGATGAGTCCTCTTCTTCCTTCTTCTTCCACCTTGCTGTCATTCCTTTGTTTTTCCGACAAGTTCAACAACGCAGTATTCTTGTCTTCTGCTTTTTTCTCCAAGGCAACCGAGCTCGTTAAGCAACGTAACGTGATCGAATATGTATGATGTAATTGCAAGCAACGCTTTTCCGATTGTCGATACTTCGATTTGTCAGAGGGAAACGACGTCGAACTTGCGTTATGCAATTTCCACGCGATTTATCTTACCGATAAATTCTCGGCTGATAAGCAGAAAAAAGAAAAGGCACGAAAAAGTGGCACGAGCCACGATATCGGCCATTATTTCGACCGCTGAAACGTAAACTAGTCCGTTTCGCCGTCTACTTTTCTGCCGGGCTTTGCTCTTGCTTTATCGTACAAATCAAGATATTTAAGATTACTTTCTCGAATCTGGTAAGTTACTTTCATTTTCCGCGATCAGTTGATATATCACTTTTCCAAAACAAGAAAGTAGAAGTTTCTTTTCGAGCTAGACCACTTTAAATCCACTTATAATTTCCGAGCAGTAGGAAAAATGCTCGACAGAGCTATTAGTAACTCGACAGAATATTTCTAAGTGAACAGTAGTTATTAATCGAACATAGAGTTTGTCATAGAGCTTGATGATTATAAAGGTGATAATTATAAAGGTTGATACAAGTCGGGTTACTTTCTTAGTATTATCCTACGACACGAGTAATACCAAGAAGCCCATCACTTTCTTTTTTCCTTAATTCCTAATTCGGATAAGCCTCTGGCCGGTTCGAGATTCGAGGAAGCGGCAAGTTTAATCAACGCGGTAGAATCGCGTAATCGTATGAATATATGCAACAGGAATTCACACCGTAGATTCTCGAGTGGTCTAAACGAGTTGTTACAGCGATTAGCCGATTTCTAATTCAATCTAGGTAGGTGAGAAAACGCGTATTAATTAGCCACGTTCCACTCTTCACCGTAACCCGCCAATTCGTTTATCCATTGTAAATCAACCGTTTATCGCGTGGAGCATTCCAATGTAAGCGAAATATCGTGAAATTTCAGCAGAAATAAAAGTGCACGTTATCAGTCAGACTACGCCTTGTCAATGCAAATATTATCAATTTTTTAGACCTGTTTAGTTGTTCGCTAATGTCGATTCACACAATATTGAATCCAGTATTTTTGTTAGCTATTGAAATGAATTTCCTCGAAGCAAGGCACTTTAAAGGTGCAAAAGATAATTAGCCTGGGAGTATTAGCGCGATTAACTAATGATTAGCTATTTTTGCTGCATAAAGTTTTATCGCATTAAAGAGGTATCGAAGCCAAGGTCTTTTTAACACTTCGCCGGGTTTGACAGGTTTTATTGTGCATTAGAGTGGCGAATTTGTGCCAACTATAGTTTACGGCTCTAATTACCGGCTTGATTAGTTCCACGGTTCTATCACCGGATGTCCTTCGTGAAATGTACGAAGTCGATAATCTTTTAATGGTACACGATCGAACATCGTCGAATCAAGGTTTTTTAACAATGGATGTCTACATTCTTCGTAGGTAGATATAGAATCGGTACGATGATACCAAACAGCCATGAAGTAGCTTTTGTCATGGTGTATTCCATCATAGCGTTTTCGCATTAATTGTTTAATTCGACGCAATTCGGGGAATCGAGCAATATTTTTCAAGTCGAATAGAGAACCATCGGAATAATATCAAGACTATCCTATCAACCTAATTTCTAAGCGATAAGGTAATATCCACTTTGTTGTTACGTATATCCGAACGTATATATACATAAGTTTATATATAACGACCTCGCATATATAACCGGTACGCAAATATTGACGATTGACTGTAACTAAGCGCAGGTGATACCAGCTGACGATGAACTTACGCCTTGCGAATTTACCAAATACTTCTCTAATTCCACATCGTCCGAAATTCATAAAAATTCCCGATCCATTGAACCCAGGGATAAAAATAACTCAAGAATCCCTTGGGATTTCACGCGAGATTGCGTACGTTGGAATTTTTCACGATTCGTACGTTTTCCAGGTAGAACGGTATAGAACGCAGGTTTTTCAGGAAACGAAGCGATACAAACGTCATACAACACCGATGCATCGTTTTCTCCTTTCCTCCACTTCCATTCGTCCCCATCGTTTAATGCCACGTCGAAAGGGAATCGTACAAATCGTCGCGTTACGTCAAATTGCGCATACCCCGGTCGAGCATGATGGAACAAGCCGAATATTGGACGCAGGATTGCATAAGTTCCTCGTAGAATGCACGCGGAAATGCAGGGTCGATTGTCGATTTTTCTGCGGCTGGATCAGCCGGTTTGCCTTGTAACCTGCCTGCACCGTGCTCGAGGCACGTGCATTTTATTCACGCTGTTTGGCGCGCATCTGCGAAATTATTCGCTTTACGACCCCGAACCATATGCCCCATCGACGATCCTTGTTTCGACGATCGTCCCGTTAAATGCATTATCTTACGTCTTAGATGAAATTGGTAATTGCTTTTTAAGCGTCTGATAACTGGCTTTGTGTAGCAGCGTCATTGATTGGATGGGATTGATAAGAATGGACGACAAGCGATAACCTTCTCTGGTATGAGAACCCTTCGATTTGTGTGCAGATTGTTTCGAGTAATTGGAGCACTGTTTGTTCGGTGCTCGATAGAGAATTCCCTGGAGGAAAAATTGAAACCTACTTATAGTTCGAGTGGATTTTCTTATAGTTATATCACATAGAAACGCGACTTGCGTAAAGCAGAAAGAATTTAGGTAAAGTTTGGGGTAAAGATGAGAGTGGTACCGTTTGACAAGGGACAGGTTTTAAAAAATATTTACATACACATTTACAAGTTCAAAGTATTTTTTTAGATTAAATGCCTCGCTGAGGTACGAGGTTATGTTATCGTAGTCGTGACTGGTTTTATCGATGCGAAAGGAAATGCGTTATGCTTTTGTTTAGTATAGCAATGTCAAATATATATAGCAATGCTAAATCTGCATTGACTATAATTTTGCAAAATGGATATTTTCTTTTCCGCGGGCAATTTAATTTTTGATCATGGTGTCTATGCTGTAATAAAAATAACTCTTCGTAAGTAAGTAAGAGTAACTCTTTGAATTAAATATTTTCACAGCATAAACCCTTGAAAATGCAATAAAAAAAAAAAAGAAAAACGAAAAGGGCGCCAGTCGAGTTGCAAAGAAAAAATGGAAATGAGAAGAAAAAAGAAAAAGTATTCTTTGTGTTCAAAGATGCAGCTTCCAGCTAAATCGATATACTTCTCATAGATGAAACACGATAAAAATATTTTTAAAGACGAAGAAAAGAATAAAAAAGTTATCCGATAATCATTTCGATGTTTAAATATTCCCGCTTGATCGACGTCAGTCAGTCTAGCCAATATGTACAAACAGGTGACGTAAGCAGTGAAGACACAAAGCAGATACACCGTGCTCCGTTCGATCCGAGAAAGTTACCGTGTGTTCCATGGATCACTAGGTGTACACGTACATACGCGATAATTGAAACATTTTTGCGACCAAACTCGAACGTCTCGAAGAAGAATCTTACCTGTGGATAGGTAGTTGCATCGATTGCAGAAGATCCTTAACGAACGGTACGCATTAACAGATCAAGAAGCGGCGTCTGGCAAGAATTTCGCGACGCGGCAAATTCAAACGCGCACGCGTCGAGGCGAGACTAAACTATCACACGAGTTCTGCATGGCCAAAGAAAGAGGGAGAAGAAGTAATCTGGAAGAAAAAATACGCAGTTTAAAATTAAACTCAACCCCGTTTGAAACAACATCCGAGAACATCAATTCGCGATAACGAGGATCTCCTAAAGTCGGTCGTGATAACGGTTGATAACCTAGGTCGATGAAATTTTTACCGTCTGCCAATCAGCGTGACATACATTGCTTCGAATGTATAACTAATTCGGCGATTTGGCCTGGTTATCGATAAAAAAAAAGAGAATTAAAGGAGAGATTCGAGTTGATTGGTCCATCGTCGTTTATCACGGGCAAGTCGCCCGACAGAAAAAATAATGTCGTCTGTGAAGAGAGGTCTTCTGGCTAGCTCCCAGGGTGTGTCGAAGTTACTGCAAAATTCGTTGAAATTCGGATGGTCAACAGAGAGGCTAGCATCTAGTCAGCGTATCGAGCAGATGGTGGTTCCTAAAGAGGAGGTGATCAGGTTCATTTCCCAGTGTATGTGCAAGGCTGGAACGACACCTGAGGATGGGTACATCGTTGGCCATCATCTGATGACCGCCGACTACAGCGGCCACTTTAGCCATGGAATGAACAGAATGCAAATGTACGTGCAGGATATCAAGGATGGGATGGCTAATCCTACCGCGAGGCCGGAGATCCTAACCGATTTTCAGGTACGACGAATCTTATCTTCCGGTGACGGAACTGTGTTTCTTTGCATTCGATCTTCATCGACGTTTAAATATTCGCTGAGATTAAAGGCGTGCCGCGTTTTAATTGTTCGTTTAATCAACTAGCAACACAGTTGTTGCGAGGTCAATGTGCGTCAGAGGGATCACAATGCTCGGATACATTTTATTACGCATCACTGAAATTCTAACGAAGTCAGAGACATGATAAAAGCAAGACAACAATTTTGAGAAATATGTCTATTTTTTGCTCGTTAAGAATACCCGGCGAATATTGAGTCAAGTTGTCTTTGATCTTGAAATCACAAAAATATCAACCACGCCGTCTTTTTTTAAAGAAACAAGAATAGACCAATGGAGTTACTATAAAGGCATCGTCGTGTAATGAAAGGCATAGTAATTGAACAGCGGCGCCGCGGGAAAGATTTATACCTACTAC